TGTTGACAAATGTTGCACGTAACTTTAAACAAAAGAGAATCTATCATATCGTGTTCTGAAATAATACAATGCAGATAAATATCTATATTTAAACATTTTCGAAATGCTTGTGCAGTTGGTTTTCTTTTTTTTGTCTTCGATTGGTAGAAGATGATTTTGGTAAGCTCTTGAAGAACAACGCACGACTGGATGTCATACTTAAACTTTGTTTGTCATTAGTCCTATTGCTCGAAAAACTTTGCATTGTCAGTAGATCAGCTTGCTTCAAAACAAATTGTTTTCAACGTATTTTGTTTTTGAAAAATGATTCATTGGTATATGTTTAATGACAACGTAGAATCAAAATACTCATACTAGTTTCATTATTGTGTTCGGACTGTGGACAGTAAAGTAACAGCATAATCATTGACTCGCTCTTTAAGAAGTTTTACTTTATATAAGTGGGTTAATGAATGCACAACTCAGTATACTTCGTTGATGACATCGGAAATGTTCTTTTTCACACTTTCACATATGGCTTTGTATTCCCGAAGGGTCTCAACTTTTTACACATAGTTTTATTTTTTGTTTTCTTGAATAATTAAGAACATAGTCAAAAGATATTCATCTATCTGTTGCTGAAAAAGACTCTTGATTGATAAACACTACATGTTTAATATCTTTTCAAAAAACTTTTATTACTTGTATGTCTTCGATTTTGTGACTTTTTCGTATTCTTGATTGACCTCAAACATTACGTAGGAGAATCAATCAGCTTTTCCATAAACTTAATCGATTCGTTTTAATAAGGATAGGCTCATAGTTCAGCTACTCAGACTTTTCGAGAAACACATTTTTCATTTGGTCACTTGTTTAGAAAAGCTTCAACGCTTAGTTAATAATCACATAAATAAGTAAGCGGTAAGAGAAAGGATAGAGAATCTCCTATAGTGACGATTCTTCGAGGCTATTGAAGTGAATTTATTTCACTAAGATGTTTTCTTTCAAAAGAAAATTGCATTATTTATTGTTATATCTGATGATATCTTTTAAGATTTAATTAGTTCATAAATGTCATGCAAATGATAATGTAGATTATCGAAAAACAAGAGCATTCGGTTATTTTTCATAATTGTATTTGAATTTTGAAAAACTCCACATAAATCAATCGTTATAAACTCAAGAGAAGAAATTATCGAACAAATTATTTTTTAGCTTCCATTTTTTATTAATAACTGTTGATTGCTGAGATTACGGGAAATAAACAAAGTATTATTTAATAAAAAAGAAAAAAAGATCAATTAGATTCTATATTTGTTTGTTCAAGTCTCAATTTTAGCTGAAGTATAGACGTAGAAGATGGGTTTACAGAGAAGAGTCACTGTCATATCTATATGGGTACCTTGAACTCTGTATATTCATTAGAAAGAGCAACACTATGAAAATAACCGAAAATTGATAACTAAATAACATTGATATCTCTAATCACATGCTCATTCAAATATTTATTTATTGGTGAGTTTGATAATAGATTTAATTTGACTTAGTTTATATCTAACTAACTAACCAAAAATATTCAGTGTAAATCATTGTGGTTTTTTGAAAAGCGATAGAGACAAAATGTAAAAGCTTTGATCAAAATGGACAATTGCTTTTGAGCATTTAATTTAAAAAAGACGTAGTCTTTTGGAAATACTACATATAGAACCAGTCTTTTCGAGCGCATCAACCTGCAAAAAGCTCCAATTCTGCGATATTAAAATGAACTATTCCAATTCTTCTGTCAATCTCTATAAGCGAGGAATGTCAATTGATCTGGTTCAGGTACGTTTTACGATGTTAAGCTTAGGCTATTTATTTTCTGCTTATACATTATCAAATTGAACCAACATATCTCTATTTGATTCGAGCTGTGCTCAACAAGTCACCAGCAACGTGTGATATCAAAATTAGCTTGTTCTATAGACAATGACGAAAATAATTTCTCGTATTCGTCACTCATAAATCTACAACGAGTTTATGATGAGAAAGCACAAACTATATTTGAACACTTTCTAAGGTAGTGATATATGTATATGCATTGCATAGACTCTTCATATGCTTCTGTCTCTGAGTTTACTCTACTTGCTTACCTTGATTATTGTCTAACTGTCATTCGTTTTAACATGAAATATGTTTCATTTTTTTTTTACTTTTAAACGTTTTTCTTTCTCAACTTCTACATTTGTTTTGAGATTTGATTATTGGCTGATTTGTTAGCACGATGAAAGAGTAGATGTTTGACAAATATCATTCGAAACAAAAATTCGATAGATTGTTTTAGATGTGTGAACCGTAGGTGAGTAGTCCAACATTGATTGATACTAGTTGAAAAATGTACATGTATATTTTCATTCTGCTCAAAAATCATATGTTAGCTTCGAGCTATGTGATAATATTGAAGATTTGACGAAGTGGGTTTGTTTTTTCAGCATGTCGTATAAGACACAGAAACATGGGAAGACTGAAATTGTGTTTATTTGATTGCTGACAATGTCAACCGTTTCGAATATAATACTGATTCGAATAGTTAGTGACTCATTCGAATATTTATTGCTGAGTCATTTTTCATTCTGTCAAGTCAGTAAACAAGTTACCAACAATAAGTGACTTGAAATAGGTCAATTTTGAATGTTCACATCAACTATTCATGATTTTCATACCAACATCGGATTTTTTTGTCGCTTCACGTGCTTGGTTTGTCGAAAAATAAAAATTTCAATCATATTGACTACTTCAACGAGTAACAGAACGATCAAAAGTGACGCGCTAAGGAGTGAGTCACTATGTTTTCTTCTACACCCACTATCGTAAGTGACTATGCCACTAATACGTCAGCAAGGTGAACACAATATCAATAATAAATTCGTTCGCTGTCAGCTATTCTTTTCATTTTTTCGAAACATTACATCATATGCTGACTCTTCGAAAAATGTTTACCAATCCGTTGGTCTATCTTCTGCTTCTCTTAGTCTTTATTAGTATTCTCGTTCATTCTCAGAATGTCACCAAGACCTATGTAATCAAAAAAGATTTCTTCAATGTTATGAAAGCTGGTCAATTCTCTATCTATGATCCAGGCGAACAGCAATTACACTATCGAATCCAATCTCAAATTGCTCTTTGGCAAATCCTCGAACTGGTTGCATATCCATCCAATCAAGTGATTGCGAAGCTTAACAGTCGATGGCATACTTTGTTATACGAAGCAACTATTTCAATTTTTGATTCTCAATCAAATCAATGGATCGATGGACAAATTCGAAAACATTTTACATTCTTTGGAGATAAATATACTATTGAATGGAATGGAAAAAGTATGGTAATGGAAACCAAGTTCCTTTCTTTCACTACT